CTCAACAAACGTACATAACAAGTGAAGTTATAAGTCCAAACTATGCTGGAATTCAAGGAATACAAGAAAATCAAGCTATTCTACAAATTCTGGAAATTGAAGAACACTAAGGGAAATTCAAGGAATTGAACAAAGGTAGATAACAAGGGGAGTTATAAGTCTGAACTACGATGGAATTCAAGGAATTCAGGACTATAATTCAAAGTTAATTGCATGTGTTGAGTTTCTTGAATTCCTTGATTTTCTTAAATTCCTTAGTTTGCTTGATTGCCTTGAATTCCATGATACTTTCAAGGGACATAGTTCAAAGATATATGCATGTGTTGAGTTTCTTAAATTTCCTTGAATTGCCAATTTTCGGATCTTGGTTACTGCTGACAAAATTTGACAACTTTGCAAGAAACATAAAGGACACAATAGCAAACCTTATTTGAACAATAAAACGAAACAGCGAAAAGAACTGACTCTCAACTAACACAATGAAGAGGCCAAATTCAAGGAAAATCCAAGTGTAGATGCCAAAATTCGCTGGCACAAAGTTGAGCAACTGAAGCAACCAGCAGCCTAACATAATCTTAGAACGACACTGATTCTAATTAATTAAACCAGTAGCGAACACCAATACCACACGACACCAAAGATGCGAAAAGTATATAGTATTAAAATTAAGTCTATCATCAAGTTCATGAAAGATTGGAAAATCTACTTTGCAGACTTGGCTAATGTCAAAACAAACACGCCATAGAACATTCGAACAATATCACTAGTTTTCAAAGGTCTACCGTTCAATTTCAGTCCAATTAAACCTCATGAAACACTGAAAACAGTAGAACAACTGAAAAAGAAAAATTCCCTTAATTTGTTTATACAATAAAACATGAAGTACTCGAGTTTGATAGTCCATGGGTAATCAACTAATTGTATTACATATAAAATGAAACCTTTGAAAATCAGAAGTCGCCGAAACAATTCAAGACCAACTACAGAAGCATCAGCATGATGACAGTTGCAGCTGAAACATACAATCAAACTCTGATAAACAGAATAGGGGAATTCTTTAGCTTGATTTCTAGAGTATATCAAATAGGTTTCAGAAAAGAAAGAAACTACATTAACCAGATATACATCGTTAGTAAGTTTTTCGAAAGTGCAGCGACAATCAAATACCAATCTTCGTTATATTCGTCGATTTCAAGACCTTTGACTCTATAACAGACAAAACAATGTCTAATATTTTCAGACATTGGAGTGCCGATCGAAATGGTAAAGGCCATGGAAGCGACACATGATAATTTTCAGAGTGCGGTTCTCGTGACAGTAACGCCTCCGGAAAATTCCATATAATAGCCAGTATCCTATAAGGAGACAGTTTAGTATATTTTCACTTTGTAACTGTGCTTGAATACGCCATGAAAAATGCGTAATCGGATTATATAAACGGAAAAAGTGAACACGACTTCATAATCAACATGCGACAATCTAGTTGACATCGAGCAACGACAATACATAATCTCAACATCATCGACGACATAACTCTGTTAGAAAACAGCTTCGATTGAACTCAAATGCAACTCATTACAATACCCAAGCAAGTCAATCAAGTAAATCTTCAAGTCAATCCGGAGAAGACACCAGTAATCATCAATCAAGACATAAAAACAGGTAAATAAAAATTGAATGGACAGAATATCGAATAGATCGACAATTTTAAGTATCTTGGTTCGATGAAGGTGTCTAGCGATATTGAAATCACAGCGCGAAAAGGCCAGACATACAAAATTTCCTGAAAAATCCAGAATATCTGAAGCTCAAGAACAATTCCAATCTATTTTAAAGTAAAAATATGTCAAGCTTGATGTCTTTCAATATTGTTATACAGTTGCGAAATTCGGCTTAGCACAAAGTAAGCTCGAAAACACTCTAAACAGCTTCGCTACTAGCTGTTCTAGAATAATGCTTAATATTAAGAAAAGCTTAACTTTTTTAGTAAATTATGAATAAGATCGGGATTAAATAAAATATGAATTAACATTATCTGCAATTAATAACTTTGAATGAACATCTTTTACCTTAAACACATAAAATAATCTCTTGTAATTCGATTTATGTAAATACACAAGCTATTCATACATTGGATTACCATAGTTAAACATCACAATTCATCATTGTTTCATTACTCACTTCTTTTAGTATGAAAAAGTCGGTTATACCTTATATATATATATATATTGGTCTTTATCTTGTAATGTTACTTGATCTTTATCTTTGAAAATCGGAACATGCCCAAATCGAGGATTGTCTCAACCAAATACAGTAACAAGTATCGAATTTGCAAATCATTTCTTGCTTAAATTTCCTTCTACATCATCTTATGTGTCAATAACATTGATACTACGTTTGCATCGGTCAGTAAATAATGAAAAAGGACTCTTGTTCATATTACATACGCTACATGCTTAGAAGGCTCCCATACGTTCTTGTTTGTTGAGGATCTCTCTTACTTGAATAACAAATATAAGAATAAAATGATCTAGCAAGTTTGTAAGAATCAGCAATAGCACATTTTTGTTGTCGATTTTGGCCGTTATAGAGATAAGTTTTGATGATTAATAAAATGATTGTACCATTTACATGATAGTGATTTATGTTTAAATTCGATACTTAATTTGTCACGTTGATATCGAAATTACTTGACCGTAACTTTTTCATGTTTAACATGTGTTGAAAATGATAGCATTTATATCAATTTTACTTCAACGTTCTTAAATCAAGATCAACATTTTGCTATTTTTTTTCTAGTATACCTAATCTACGCTGTTTTCGACCTAAACTCAACGAAAAGAAATTCGTTAGAGATAATAAAAACTCAATCCTTTTTAGTAAAATTGATAAAAAGTCTAATTTAATTTCAAACTACCTAAAAGAAGCATATTCACTACAAATGGCCAAGCTTCAGTTCAAATATAATTTTATTTATTGTATACGCAATAGAAAACGCTATAATTTGAATGAGCTTAATGGAAATTCTCTATGAATTGAAAACCATAAAAACTAACCTTTTCTATTTTTCGAAATATCAGTAATTCACATCTACATTTTAACCATTTTCGTAATTGATCTGTTGCACAAGCATGGTCAACAGCTGTTTGATATCTATTACCATTATGTTTAAGTGTGACTAAAGCAGTAAAGCTTTTTCTTTACAGACGATTATCGATATTTATGTTTTGACATTTCTTTCACTTTAATACTACTCGATCTAATTGTATCAATTGTCACTAATGATAAATCAGATGATGAAGACATCATTAATATGTTTAGTGACAAAATGATATTCAGTTAGATCATCATCTGGTACATTGGAATTAGTTTAAAAACATGTTTCATCAGATATAGAACAATGATTATCACTATCATCAATTTCGGATTTATTATCAGAACTAAACGTTAAGTATTTGGACATATCAATAATTTGATTTTCTGCATCATCCACATTTTATATCACTTCGCAGTGGCGTAGCCAGGGGGGGGGGGGCATTGGGCAATTGCCCAATAGTTAAAAAGTTATTGCCCAATAAATTTTTCAGGCAATAGCAATGGCCCAATGCAGAAAAGTAATGATATACATTTACGTTTGAAAATTCAGATGATATTATTTTTACTCTGATTGTCATTGAAATCTATTCAAATGATCGAGAAAAATCAANGCAGGTAATAGTGATCGGAAATCGTATATATTGGAAAAGGTATCGAAGTGAAGTTAAAAAAGTAGCGTTCATGTTTTAAGAAACTTGATTGAAAGAGATAAATGTTAATCAAGACATTTCGTAATGGTTATTTTGCACAAGAGTATTATTTCGAAAAAGTTCGATGATGTGAAAGTTAGGGGTGGATCTTTGTTTTTAATTCGACTTAATTAAGTTAAGTTATTATGTGATTTTAGTTAACGATTAATATTAAGAAATTAAGTTTTCACTTGACACTTAATTTTAAGAATTAAGTTTTCACTTATCATTCAATATTAAGAAATTAAGAGTTAAGTGAAACTTAATTTCTTAATGTTAAGTGATAAGTGAAAACTTAATATTTAATATTAAGTGTTAAGTAAAATCAGGTAATAACTTAGCTTAATTAAGTTGAATTAAGATAATATGGTTCTGAAGTCCTATTTTTGAAAAAAAATTTTTTTTAGAATTTTTTTTAGTGCAGAAATAGACTTTTTGAGAAAAAATTTTATTTTTAAAGCAGCAATCGATTTTTTGAAAAAAAAATTTTTTACTACAAAATTTTAGGGTGTTTTTGAAACAAGTTATTTTTTCTCAAAAAGTCTGTTTCTGGAATAAAAAGAAATTTTTCGAAAAAATAGGATCTTCTTTATATCAGCCATTTAATCACTTAATTTTAAGTGAATTAAGTGTCAAAGTGGAAAACTTAATCTTAATTTTAAAAATTAAGTGTTAACTTAATACTTAATATTAAGAAATTAAGAGTTAAGTGAAAACTTAATTTCTTAATATTAAGTGATAAGTGAAAACTTAATACTTAATATTAAACTAAGATAAAGGGACCACCCCTGATTGGTTCTAAAAAAAAAGGTTCTTAAAGGATAGTTTGTATTTCATTGATATTATTTTATCTGTTTTCTACTTCATAAAGGTTGTCATTAACATATCTCATACAGAATAAAACAGAAAAATATTTTAGGTTATTTTCCATTGTGTTGCGATTCCATGGTTCATTTTTTTTTTGTAGATGTGTAATGTATAATATTAGTGCTATCAGCATTTTCTTTTCATTCTTTTGCTTGTATCATTGGTTAACGAGTAGAAGCGAATCAATAGTTTTTCCTTATCCTCCTTTAATGGGAAAAAAAAATTAGTTTTAGTAAAATAAAAGTAAATTGGATTGGTCATTCAATGTGTCAAGATGTATTTCATTTTGTTGTGTTCATTTGAACAGAATAGAAGTAAACAAGACTATATGATTTCATTTTCTTTTAGATGTCAAATTCATCACATACTTTGACTCAATTTTTGCTCTCAAGATTTACTTGTTTTTCATCATCATCTGAAGATGAACATAGAGTTCGTAAGAAGAAAAGAAAATTTCGTACATCTATATATACTTCATTTGAACAATTACCAAATGAGTTACTCTTAGAGATTTTTGATTATTTTACTCTGTTTGATATTTACACCATGTTCTATGATATAAATATACGTTTTAATCAATTGATCGCTTTTTCATGTGTACGAGGTTTCTCTATTCATTCTATTAGAGAAAATAATCTCTATCTCAAATGCATTTTACCTGATATTCCTTCATCACAGATAAATACACTTAAATTATGGCACAATAGTTCATACGAACAATTAATTAATAAATTTCCAGTTAATTTATATTATGTACATACTTTAGTCTTGAAACAACTAAAAAATCTTTCATTTCATCAATGTAGAGAACTACTTAAACATTTTAAATGCTTAGAAACATTATTTATGATTGACTTTCATACTGCTAAAATTGATTGGCTTGATGATAATAATTGGAAAAATCTTGTTGATATTGATTTACCTCACCTTCATTATCTTGGTGTGCGTATATCTGTTATATATCATAAACAAATATATGATGATGATAAGGACAATATTATTTATAGTTTTACATCCCGTTATGGTCGACCTACCTATCGTTTATATACAGGCAGTTTATTAAAAAGAGATCCAATCTTGGAAATATGTTTGACCATTGACCAAGTATTTCCTTTACGATAGTATTTGACGATTATAAAATCTTATGTCAACATATGTATATACGTATATATGTATTGTATTTTCATTGCTTTTTGTTTTGTAAATATGAAAACTTTGTATCTATGCATACGATTTATTGATATAGTCAATGTTGTTCTCTGTTACTCTTTAAGTGAAATTATTCTTTTATATTCAATATTTATCTTGATAAGAATGATCGTACTCTGTGATTCGTATTGAACGTTCTCAATCATTTTTATTCTAATTGTCAAATCTATTTCATATTAATACATGTATTGAATTAAATATGTATATCTATATGTAACAACTTTGTTATATAATCAATAAATTCATAGTATCGAATCTAAAATATAATCAAGTATAAATTTTCATGTATCTGATTTTATTGTTATGTTTTTTTTTACAACATGAAAATCAAATATCATTAGTTATAGAGAGTGATCAAAAAATTTAAGTAATAAAAACTTTGTCATATTTTGATTTTAAATTACCTTCTCTGTCTTTAAGAAATTTAACAAGTTCTGGGTCATATTTTTCAAATAACTTCAATTTTTCCTTTTCATATGTTGAACGAGTATCAATTGAACCTGTATTTTGTAGTTGTTCACTTAAAAGTCGATAAAAAATACTGTTTGGATCATTTGTCATTAGTAGACTGCCTTCATCAACTCGTATGTGTCTTCTTTCATATGTACCAATTGAATATTTTCGAGTAAAGTCATCAACATGCTGAGGACTGAACACAACAGGACGATCGCGTAATGATGTTGTAAATGCAGATTGTCGCAATATTTTACAAGAAACAGGTGTATTAATTTTGGAACAGACTTGTTTGGTATTGGGTTGACTCATTCCTAAAATTTGAATGCTCATTTAATTTTTTTTTACATTAAAATTTCTTAATATTTATATATTTTGATCGTTGAAAATATTTTTTCTAACCTCTATATTATACGTTTTGTATAATAAGTAAATATTAGTTAATGCAAACATCTCGATCTTATGATATAATATTAGAAACGAATAAGTCAAATTGAAAAATCTGATATAACTCAATAAATATCAAATATAAAATAGAAGATACAAAGCACATCCTGAAATTGTTTGTTGTCAAATATTATCAATAATATTTTAAGCGATAAAGATGTTTTTTAGAAAAATTATTATTACAGTGATCTTGTTTAACTGGTTGTTTAAAAAATTTGAATAGTCAATAGTAGAGACTACAAATGTTCATCACCTCTTTTATTCTTCATTCATTTTTCGATTCATATGAAATAGTTTTTCTATTAAAATTTGTTTGTTACTTACTTTGAGATTAGAGAAAAAGCAAATGAATTCTTTTTTTTTTTTTTTTTTTTTTGTCGAGTTTAAATACATAAAAGTATCTCGAGAAAATAAAATGATTTTCTTCTATTTTCAACCATTATTGCATGTTTTATTGCCGATTATTTCTTCACTTTCCGAGAGCTTTTAATAAATATAATGCATGTCATTTTCTTTTCATATGAATTATAAAATAACAAAAAAAAAAAAACTAAGGCAATTTCTTTTTCATCTCATTTATCAACATTAACTAAACGTTTATTTAAATTAATTAGTTATATTTTTCAACTCATTTTCCATTTATTTTTGTTTTTTTTACAATAACTCATAAAATATTGTCAAGCTCTTCAGATACGATTAAGATTCAACTTTCATTCTTTTTTATTAATTTATATATTAAAATATGAGTTCTTTTTTTGAAAAGATTAAAAAATTGAACGGCTATCTAACTCAAATCGTTTTGAAAACTTGTTTATTTTTTCACTTTTAGATTATATTCATAGATTGTATTCGATACGAAAAGCATTTATCGTTCGTCTTTTGTATAAGTATCAAGACAGATTTTATTTTGTTATAAAACATATGAAAGATAAAATATAAACATATTTATAATATTAATATCTATAAAATTATTCGACTAACGAGGGAAAAAATGTAACAATAATTTTTTATCTCATTGCCTAAAGTATAATACATGATTGATTATTTATCTTAACTTGTGTTGCTTTACTACATGCATTATGACATTCTATACAACAAATATATGTACAACAAATCGGTGCACCATCTTCAATATGACCTGAACCACAATAACATAACCAAGGCATCTGAAAAATCATTAAAATAGATTCAAACCAAAATAATGCTTCTCGCAGACTGTATCGATAAATATTCACAGGTTTCCAAGCATCTGAACATGAAGAAAATTTATATGCCAATGTACATGGAGCCAATAGAATATTTATGATGAAAACAATAATAAAAATAATAAATGCTATGAAATAAATACATATGTCAAGAACAAAAGCAATGGGTAACATAAGAATCCATAAAGGAAAACAGAATAATGAACACATTATTGAATAACAATGTGAATATCGTTGTATCCAACGAATTGTTGACATTGTACACGATATAAACGAAATACGAACATTATTGATTTCAGTTTGTAGTCGAATACGAAGATAATCTTCAGTTAATTGTTTATCTTCCATTTTGAAGAAAAACTTTAATAATAAGATTTTATGTTGCTTTACATACTTTATATATGTATTGTCACCGTATCTATACATTTTGCTACGTGGCATAACACAATCACACATATCTTATCTATTTTTGTATTATGAATCATCGAAATAAATAAGAGGTGGTTACACAACAAATCACTGCAAAGTAAATGATAATATCAAAAACAAGACATTAAATTCAATGTCTGATCAATTTTTCGATAAAATCACTAAGAATTATATCTAAATAATCGACAATAAATAATATTACTGAGTACATTAGATTTTTCGTTATCCTATTTTCATTTTTATTAATGAGTCAGATAATTTATACACTGTTTGTCATCTGATACTTTTATGAATATAGATACCAATAGAAGTTTGATTCTTTTTTTTTTTTATTCAATATTTTCTTTGAACACCGTGTGGGTGTGCCTGTAAGTATTGACGTTGATTTAGGTGTGGTTCTGGGTTTATTGTATTTCTTCTGTCCATTCATAAACATCAGCACTCATATTCGCAAGTCAAAACTTATGAGATGTTTTCAGACAGGAATCAATATAAGCATTCAAAAATTTCACTTGATCTTGAGACATAATTGCATTTTTCTCATCAATAACAAATTTTAAAAATATTTTCTAGATAAATTTGGTTGTGTACTTCTTTCTTGTTTTTTTCTGAAAGTAAATGATCATTTTTTTTTATAAAATAATCGGAACTTTTTGACATCATATCATCATCATCATCCGACTAATATATACTCAAATCTCTTCTTATTTTGATCGAGATTTTTCTTATATTCATATTGAATATCATATAAATTTTGATAAACTGAACTGATATTAAAGTCGAGTTTTTACTTCATTCATTTCATCATAGTTTCTTTCGTGATCATGTCGTTAGAAATTATATAATGACAAAATACATTGACAGGATATCAATTATATAGTTACCAGTGTCACATAACACCAGCTCCTGGGTATTATGTAGGATAATTTTTTAGGCAGGATACTATGTAAGAATCCTATTAGAAAAGGTTTTCAGTAATATTTTGTCATTTTATGATCTATTAAGTATGCTAATTAGTTTTCTTATATTAAACAATTTCATCAAGTCTGCTATTATCAAATTTTTATCAGAATTTTTAACTGTAAGACGAATAAAAAAGTCAATTATTTTATATTAACTTACAAAATTATAATAATATAGATTATACCTTAATCCATTCGAAAAACATTTTATTGATGTCAACTTCTCCAAATACTATTTGAAAACATTTATTAATATGATCAATATTTGATATTAATAATATGAAGTTAATTTCTGATAAAAATCTGTTCAAAGAATCGATTCTACCTTTGTAACTTTTTAAATTAAATATACAATAGAAAAAAGATTCTAATACAATAGAAATCAAGGGAATCTGACCATGGTATAATATAAATAACAAAGTTTGTATAACTGATAATAACTTCCTACTATATCATCAAGTAGTTTCTTTTAATTATTTCATTTGGTAATTCGATCTAGTAAGCATATTTCTTATTTTTATTTTTTATGTAAAATGAAATCAGTGACTACGAGAGGTAAAAAAGCCATTTATTAACTTCTATTGATACCAATTATAAACAAAAGCATTCGTAAATTTCATTGGTGAAACATTTTGAGAAACTTTTTGTTTTACATGAGCTCATACAATGAATAGTTTGTAATTCTTTTCCAAAAAGTTATACTACTGAAACAATCATCTATGTGCCTTATCTATGTTTAAACCGACAAATTATAATGTTATAATAAAGGGGGAAGATTAAAAAATAGCCTTATACATATTAAAACAATTGATTATTAATCTTTGTTTTTTCAGCAAGAAAAGCTTCGACGAATTGCTTTTTGTTTATACATGTAATTGCACACTTTCACATGAATTATTATTTTTCGAATGTAAGTAGAATTTCAGTGAAATAGCTTTTAAAAACTTTTTCATTATGTTGACGATCTTCTGGTGCTATGAAGCATGAATATATATTTGAACTCGATATGATCAATAATTTCTTAATTATATCGGATAAAAAGAATTGAAATACAATTAACAATTGTTTGAAATATCTCTTGCATTCATAAAGAAGCAAATACTGATATTTAATTATGTTCATAGAATACGATCAAAAGTTCTCATAAATATCCTTCAATAATTTGAAATTTCTGGCAGGTTTTCTATATTTTGTTTGGCACAACAAAAAAAAAAAAACCTAATATTTTTACAAATCTTAAATACAATTTCTATATTAACAAGATTCAAGCGCAATCATACGTTTTTGTTTAGTTTATTTTGTGTTCACTAATATAAGCTACTATTGCCAATCAAATCACAAATAGAAATCTTTCAAGTTATTTTCACTGTCATTTGTTTATTTAAAAATTCGATACTGAAGAGCATATTTAGATGAATCACTTGTATTATTAAGAACACCAATTACAAGCTGTTTAATATCACATGAAAAACGCTCTTAGTTAATAAAACTACTCGTTTAACGACCTCATTGACAGAATAAAGATATTTAGATATAAGTGTGCATTAAGTAATGTAACAGATAAATGCAAGAGATGACGTGTTATATAATAGGAACTCGCTCAACAAAATCTATTTTTTATTGTTGTATGAAATTTGTTTTTTATATGTATTAAAGACAATTGATTCGAAATATTTTTATCATATATATTGATATATGTCGAGTTTTGAAATTCTATCTATGATATACAATCAGAAATAGTAATATATTCATGTTAGAGAAAATAACATAAAATTCAATAAAAGCTATTTTCATTGCAAAAAAAAGTCATTATTTTCTTATGTTCATACTCACTCTCTAACTGTGAATAACTATTACATCATATATTCATGTATACATCGCTGAACAATTGATTGCATTATTCAATAGTTTAATAACGACAATCGTCATGTCTAAAAGCATCCCAGGTCAAAAAAAAAATCATACTCATAAACTACTATCAGTCATCGTATATTGATGTGTTACATGACGCAATGTTACGGTCGTATTTCTCTGCATCATATAAGAACAAATACGAGCGTTTTCGGATATAAACACAGCTAATGACAGAATCCCAAGGGGGTAAGTGCTGCACCATTGCACCAAAATATGCTCAAAGGTGCTGAAAAGGTGCTGAGGTGCCGAGATGGTGTTGAAAAGGTGCCGAGGTGCTGAAATGGTACNTTTTATTGGTTCTTTTTCATTTGGTGCTCAATTGTCTTATTTTTTGGTGCTCATTTCACACATAGAGAAAATCGGTGCTCATTTCACCCTTTTTTCAGTGCTCATTTCACATATCGATAAATTTGGTGCTCATTTCACTCTTTTTTTGGTGCTCAAAACACACTTCATCGATCTGGTGCTCATTTCACTCCTTTTCTGGTGCTCAAAACACTCCTCGTCCACTACTGACCATCACGAGCAATTAATTTTTGTGGACTGAAAACCGGTCGATGAACTCGACAATCTTGACATAATGAACTAGTGACATTTTTTGCCGCAGAAGCCATCGATAATAATTTATTATTATCTTGATCGTTAAATGACGTACATGGCATAATCCTATGACATATTTTTAAATAAATAAACAGATTACATATTGATAGACTTACAAGGTACTGGTCTTAGCTGTCTTATTAACATCAATTGAAGAATAATCACTATCAATATTAATATTCGACTGGTTCATAAGTTTGCCTATTTCACTTTGAAACGATGGTATTATGTTCAATGTTAACTATTTTCCTTATACAAATAAATAATTAATAATAATAATTAAATTTTAACTGACTAGTTCATTTTAATTATTTTCTGATTCTACTCGATTAATTCGATTAACTATTTCTGCTGGTCATTTGATTTCACTAAATATTTTAAAATGTCAGACATTAATAATACTTAAAAAATACATACGTAAACATTCCTCTTTGATAAACAAATTCGACCATTGAATCAAAAATTCTATTCGAATTTTCATCGATCTTTCCATCTAATTGTCATTCAAGAACAATATATGAAGACAGTACAAACAAAAAAAAAGAAAAAAAATCACTCACAAGTCAAATCACGTACACGAAGACGTATTGCTTTATTATCGTACCGAACAATAATCTAATAAATCAGAAGTTTTATCAAACAAAAAAAAAAAAATTTCTTTACTTTTTGAGCTTTAAAAAAAGTTTCTCGATTATATTGTCTAAGAAAAGCATAAGCTGCTTCTCTTGCATTAAATCTTGCAATATTAAATTTTTCTATAGAACGAACTTTCCATTGACGAAACCAGAAACGTCGACTAGAAGAGTTCTTACTTTTTTTTCTTTTTATACACAAAACTTATTAAATAATACGAACCAATCGAGAATTTCAAGAATAATCTTTTCTATATATTTTAATGGTTCATTTTCATCCATCTTGTATAAAAAGAAAATTTTTTCTTAGACATGATCAAAATTTATGCTTATCATTATATGTGTACGTGACATAATGATCATTATTTTCTCATTCATAAAATGGCATCGATAATGTAAACGATTTTATTTTCATTATATCATACTAAATTCCAAAAGTAAATAAGATAAAAAACAAAAGAAAGATTTATAGAACGATTATAATGTTGTTTTGAATGAATCATATTGATGAAAATTTAAGCTAAATATTTATTCGATTACAAGAATAATGTCAATGAAAAAAAAACATGGCAGAGAAAACTGCGCAGGTGACAATATTTATCTTATCATTCATTTGTCGACGATAGACTTTCTTGATTAAATAATTTTTTTTTTTGAAAAAAAAGGTCAAAATAAAAAAAAAATAGTATTTGTTACATTTGAAGCCTTTTGAAAACAGAAAACAAACCAATAAAATGAAGATATTTCTTGTATTATTTTGTCAATGTTTTGTTATTTTTAAATAAATGAACATAAATAAGACGTATTGGTCGTTGTTGGATTTTTTTTCATAAAGAAGAGAAAAGACACACAAATACGGAGAGAAACAATGAGAAATTCGTTAATAAACTGTCACTGTTTTTAATGCAGCTAAGACATGTAAAGAAAAATGAACAAGAACAAGAACAAGAACAAGAACAAAAAGAAAAAGGAATCATACTCGGAAATAGTCGAGCAATCATTTTATATATATATTTATATTTATATATATATATATATCGATATCAATTTAAAAATATGTTTTTCTCCGTTATTGACAAATGAATATTTTATATTTCATTCATTGTTTGTTGTTTTTCGTTTTTGTGCACATGCTTGTCCATAAACATGTCGCCATTGATTTGCCAATAATTGATATAAAACATCTAAAGTTTCGAGTTCTGTTCGAAGTTCACGTAGATCTGTTTGACCGGGTGTTGTCGATGAAGATGAAAGTGTTCCACTAGAATTCGTATGTACAATTGAACAATCAGTAGAGATTGTATTCGATGTGATTAAAAATGAAATAAAATGAAGAAATAAACTGTTCAAATGTGGATGTAATTGTAATTCAATTAATTGACGATAATGAACAGCATATAAATGTGCTACAGCATGAAATAATAGACGAACCATTTTACGTACAAGTGAATCAAAATATAAAGGAAATTGTTGATCTAAGAAATAAATTATATTTCAAATAGATTTAAAACATAGAAATTTCAAATAGTTTTTTTTTTGTTTTTTATTTTACCAAGTCTGGTAGGAAATATAGTTTCGTCAGAAAGTGTTTTTTGTATAAACATCATTGAAAGGTCAATATATTGTGGTGCAGAATATTTTACTTTTTTATTTCGTTCATCAAGCCATAAATACGAACTATGAATAATAACATCAAAATTGTTTAAATAATAAAAATAAATTCGATAAAAAACCTGTTCTGAGGACCGGTCATTACTGGACATGTTGTTGGTGTACAAAAGTCACACATTGCATTGTACAAAGCGTTAACATGATTGAAAAAAGCAACAACTAGAAAAATTGTTAAGTTTTTTTTTGCTTTAAGAAAAATTTTGTTTTAAAAAAAAATAAATAAAGTACGAACTATTATTTGCAATCCATTCATTTTTATCTACACCATTTGGTTGTCGAATTAATTCGTGAATATTACATTCAGCAAGTGATCGTGTAAATACAGCATATTCTGGTTGAAGATAAAGTAAACCACCATTAGTTGAAGAATAATATGAATTTAATTGAGTTGTAGTTATTGATGAGATAGAAGATTGATTATAATTATCATTAAGATTTATTGATAGACCATTTGAAGGATCACTTGGAGGTGGTGAGGAATCCTTAACCGTTGGACCGGTTCCTTCGTTTTTTCGACGTTGTTTCCTTTGAAATAGAAATAAAGATTATTTTAGAATAGAAATATTAAGAATATTTACGCAAAAATCGAGCCTAAATGAAGAGAAAGGGCACGCATCGATTATTTCATACATTTAAAAAAAAAAAAAAAGATATATAAACTAGTCACGCCCCATTACCCTACGCTCTTTACTCATTTACTTTTTTTTTTCATCTCTTATACATCTATTACTAATCCAACATCAGCAAGTTTTGATTTATTTTCATCAATCGAAACTTATTGATACTGCTACTCTATAATTTTGCTTGTTTAGAGAAATTAATATAAAACAAAAAACAAAAAACATATCTTACATCGAAAATTTTTCATTTATTTAATTTAATGTTAAATAAAAAAGAGCAACTAATAACTTACGTATGTCGATAATTTGTCAATTTTGATAATAAATTCGGACATAAAAAATGTATATGTTGAAATCTATTGAGAATTGTTTCTCGACTACTGAACCTGACCATTCTTTTCGTCTTTTTATGTATCGATAAAAAGTAAAAAATGCATTAGAAAATAAAAACTGGTTACGCATCAATGCATTCCTTCACCTTTTCTCATGACTAATATTTGACAATGGACAAGGTTTTTCTCAGTTATGTTATGTGTCATATTTATTTTATTTACTTATTTATTTTTTCTAACCACATACCTCCAATGAGATAATAAGAAATCAAATAAATTTGATATTGGATTATTCCAAAAAGAATCTTTCGAATCTGAAACATGTGTATTCGAACGTAAACGCATTGTCGTTGTTTCTATATGATTATGTTACTGAGTGTTTTTTTTTTCTGTCATATCATAATCAGAAGTAAAAGAAAAAAAAATGACTTATTATTATCTATTCAGACTATGAATCATAACAGGTAAATATTAAATCGCGCGACTCTATGATGATGTCAAAAAAAAAAAAAAAAACAACTCTTACCGTAATAAATTGTTCATTATTTAATAATTTATAATGACAGGAAAGAAAAAAAAAATTGCATGTTGAAAGATAGATTTTTTTTCTTTTCTTTTTTTGTTTCGTTTTGTTTTTTGATAGATCGAACTTTGAACTTGTATGATAAAAATTCAATATTAAAATACTCACTGAGTTAAACAAAAAATGCTTATCAACTTTTTCTCTTATAACATTATTTGACAAGTAATATATGTTATAACATATGCAGTCTAAACCATAGACGACAATCTCGAAAAAAATACACAGCAAAAGGTTTTTTTTTTTACAGGTGCACATATTAATTTATCTCGCTCTCCTTTCTATATATTCATTGCTTTGAATAAGAAATAATTCAAACATAAAAAGAAATAAATTACTCAAACATATGATCGGTAAACGTTAAAAAAAAAAATGAAATCATTTTACTTATGATGTTATCAATTTCTTGTTAAAAATTAATACCTCGAAAACAAAATATTATTTTTATTTTGTTTTATTTGTTTTTATAGATTTTTATCGGTTTTCTTATAAAAAATCGAACAATTTAAGACTTAATCTTTTAGAATAAATGAAAAAAATATTCATTTGTTCTAATCATATCGTCAACGTAATATTTATATTTCTATAGACAATAATAACAAAACTCAAAAGTGTTATATATAACACTTTTATTAGTTGAGAACATATCCATAACGATAAAAAAACAAAAATATATTCAATTTTTATTTTTATGATTACAAAAGCCCGAAAAGTAAATCTGTTTTTAAAAATTTTATCAATAAATTATCATCTGTTTTTAGTTGAGAATGACGTACCAGAGTGGAAAGACGAACATAGTAAATCAAGAAACGACGACACTTTGCCTCCAGATGGTTTATTCTGTTTCTCTTCTCTTTCTTCTCCCAATTCTCTTCAAGCTTCCATTTTTTATGATGTCATTATTTTGCCAATGCTTATGTTTCTCGCTTTTTACTCTCGTTCTGTTTCTCATTGCTATACAGATCCTCGCCGCTTGATCAACAACACACTTTACATTTGTAACAGGTAGAGAGAGAGAGAGGGGCGGAGAGAGAGAAAAAAGGGGAAAAGTTTGCTTCCACTAGGATTTGACAACGAATAACGATTAAACAACATATGAAGCACGTTATGAAGGTCAATCGATTTGATCGTTGTCGTCCACTATTCTGTTGCCGTAATCTCTCTATATGGCTTAGTCGTCTGCTCTTCTTTTGTGGACATACGAAATACACAAAGGGATTGAGCAACAACCACCAACATGAATCTTCGTTTCTTTTTATTTCTTAATAAAGTTTTTATGATGAAAAAAACAAAATCTATTTTTTTCTTCTTTCTTTCAATCATATTAATATTAGATTAAGGTTCAAACGAGAAAAATATAACCGATTATATTTATCTGATAATCAATGGAAATTCCGAAAATAAATATTTTTCTCTTAAAATAGTTACAATTTATCATATGACACGTAAAGAAAAGATTTTTCTTATTAGAATTCAAGAAGAAAAAAAAAAAAAAAAAAAAACTTACGTATTAGATGAAGCAGAAGTGAATATAAATGACAAGCTAAGAATACCCATGATCTAGTAAAATATTGTCATTAGTATGGTCTCATTCTCCCATCAGTCGTTTCTCTCTATTTCTTTTATACCTCGCACGCACTTCTCCTCAAGTGAGAAAAAAGAACAAGACAAAATGACGACGTTACAACAACGGAAGAAAAAAAAAAAAAAAAGAGAGAATCAATCAAAACAAACATAGAACGATCACGCCACTATTCCCTCGATGGTGACACATTGATCCACACAAGTCAAATTCAACTGATTGTCTTCATATAAACTGTCATATTTACGGTTTATTTTATTTTTATTAAATAATAATCAAAAATAACAAAATCTATTTATTTTTATTTGATTATTCATTATTGTTTCAAGTCATTATCATATTAAATATAAATTTTGTTTTTTTTTTCAACTCTAAATTATTTATTTTAACTATTAATAAATTCTATTAAAAGTTTATCATTAAGATAATAAAGTAAAAATGTCAATGACCTTCTCTTAAAAAGACAGATAGACACGCCTTATGAAAACAAATAGAAAAATAAGCAACCTTATTAAAGAGAGAAAACAAAAAAAACAACAACACACAGAATTAGCTCGATCAATCAATGAACAGCAAGAATTCTATGAGATAAAGAGAAAAAACCAAATATCACATATATATCATCTTTAGTAAATATATTAGAAGGTCATTTATATTCTAAACGATCATCTTTAATTACTAAGATAAATCAAACTATTGATATATCGTTTCTCATTTACATATTTACTTTTTTATAACAAATATTTTAACCATAAAAAAAAAACAAAAATAACCTAGATTGGACAAGCAAAAACATTTTGTTTTCTCATATTTCAAAATATTTTCTATGTCAACACGAATTATAAGCTGACAGAGCAAAAAAAAAAACAAATGATTTGTTTCACGAACTTGATTTTTTCAATTGAAATACATTCGATCCGATTTTCATGTTTTGTGTCACGTATTACTTTAGGCAACAATGCACTTGAGAAATGAAGAAATTTTTAAAAAAAACCTTACAATGACAAATATAGAATGCATTTCATGCGAAAAATCGAACCATACGTACGGTATTATGCATAAGTTTAATATAGAAATCATCTGATTTTTTTTTTTAACTTTAACATTAAAAGCGACTAATTATAATAAATAAATAAAATACTCTTTTTAATTGAATATTGAGATTTTTGAAAAGTTAGAACAAATTTCTCAAATTATTGTAAAAATGAAGAGAAAAATAATTTATTAAATAGTAAGAAAAGAGATAATAGAATATTGAAAATGAACATGAACATGAAATATTTAACTGATAAATATAAATTTATATAATTTTTGAAAGAATAAATTTTCAATATTAAATATCATTTAAAATAAAATCAATGAACAATAATAATAATCTTATTTAAAAATTAATTAAAATAATTATTCATATCTTACCCAGTAAGCCAATCAGTTAAATACTCCAGTTTGCTAGGATTTACTGTTGTTTGATGAATAAGTGGTTGTTCGACAGATGAAATAGACTTTGTATTGTTACTCGACAATACAGTCGAACAACGCATCGAATTTAAAATAGAAGACAAAAAAAAAAAACAATTAACTAATATATCAATATGACGACACTCAGAATCAACTAATAAATTCAATTTAATTTATAAATCATTAATAAATACAATTAATTGATAATAAATATATTTTAAAATGAATAATCATTATCTTAAAAGAAAAAAGAAAAAAAGAAAAAAAGAAAAAAAGAAAAAAAGAAAAAAAGAAAAAAAGAAAAAAAGAAATTCAATGTTTTTTTTTTTTTGATGAAAATATTTTTTCTTTTTCTTCTTAATGATTTTATTTACAGAATAAAGAAATCTTCTAATAAGATATATATTTTAATCATCATCATCTTGTGTTGCTTCATTTAATTTGGAAGTTGTAGCAACAACTTCAGCTAAACATGTTTGAGATTGTTTTTGTTCTTCAAGTAAACGTTGACGTGTTAATTCTGCAATAGCTCGTGTTGTTCGTTTTTCTAAACGTTTTAATTTTTTTTCTACATCACGTTTTAAATCCCAATCAGGTTTTCGTGGTGCTAATGATAATAAATCAACATCTTCTGTTACTCCAATAACAGAATTATCATTTTCATTTGATCGATTTTTAACTTGATCTTCAATCTAAATAAATAAAATTGAAAATAATACCAAACATTATATTATTTATATTACCATTAATTTAACATCAATTAATTTTGGTTTAGGTAAAACAATAGCGCCTGATACATTTGCTGAATCATTTGGTTTATAATTACGAAATATTGGTTTTGGAAATTCAATAATTTCTTCTTCTAAATCTTTATCTTTATTATTTTTATTATCTGATTCATTTTCATTTTCATTTTCATTTTCATTTTCATCATCTTCATATTCTTTTCTTTTAGTTGTTTGATTTTGTTTCTTAAGTTTCCATTGTGCAAGACGTTCTTTACGTTTTCGAGCTGCTTCTTCTAATTCACTTAAAGTCATTATTTTAATAATTATCTTTTAAGACAAATCAAAGTAACAATTGTGAAACAATAAAAATAAATAAACAACAGCTGTTTTTTTTTTTTATACAGTCATTTATCTATTGGCTAATTAAAAGTCATTTTTGATAAATCACATTTATTTTAATCATTAAAACAATAAATTTATTTATTTTATTTTTTATTTCTTTTTTTTTGTTATTAAACTAAATTGAAAATTCAAGCGACATCTTCTTAAATACGTCGTAGATGACGATTATTTTCATCAAATATTGTTAGTGGAGGTTGTTCTTAAGAGTAATGTTTGACTCAATGGAAGAAATTAAAATAATTTTTGTGCGTTTATTGAAAAATAACAAAAAACAAAAAAACTATTATTAAATGGCTGACGATACTACAAAAGGTGCTTCCGGTACTGAAGTACCTGATGTGAGTCCAGGAGCAGGCTTTCAAGTATATGTTGATATGGCTAATTTACATAATAAATTAAAATTACTTAATTATGATGATGATTATGTCATGAAATGGAGAATGAAACCAATATCACGAATTCATTTTGCTGTATCTACAAATGCAGGAGATCAATTACATGCATTTATTGCTCTTTCAGCATGGCTTTTTCAAAAAGGTGGTGTTAGATTTGATAAACCAAGCGAAGTTTGAATTTAATTATTTTTTATTCTTTTACTCTTTATTAAGTTTTATTTATAGGATGATGATCAAAGTGTTTTACTTCAGAATATTATTGCACAATTTAAGAAGCTAGTAAGCCTTGTATATATATATATATTATATCAATTGACAAGAACATTTTTTCAACTGTCTTTATCATTTAAAAACAATTCTAATCTCTAGATTTTGAATTTTTTTCACGTATTTTATGCTTTATAGACTTGTCTTTTATTTTTTTTTTTGAACAAAAAATTCCTTAGGCGATACTCTGGAAAATAATCGATTTCAGTCATAAAATACAACTAATTTTAATATTATAAATGGAACATAGTTTTAAGATGCAGTTGAGTACAACATTAATATTATCACATGAAAACATATTTTTAGCTCATTATGCGGATTAACTTGTCAAGAAAAGAATACCTTTTTTATTTTTGCAAAGGATTATATTGAGAAAGCATTTAAGCAAAAAATGAGTTCGATGAAATATAAGATAAGGTCGAAAAGTTAAAAATAGTTAGATCATTATTCTGTTTAAACTAGTTAGTAAAATACGCTCTGTCCTACTCTCAGCATTGTTTTACTTGAAAAATTTATCAAATGATAGAGATTTAAATTCTGAGTCAATTCGAAGCCACTCTGAACCAAAACGTCAACAAAGTTAATATTTGAAAATCTAAGCCGACTGTAGGTTTGTTACATTTTTCTATTTGACTAGAGTTACATCAGGTATTTACGATAAATTCATCTAATGTCACTTATCGAAACATTTTTGTTTGAGCCTTTGGTTTTGAGTGAGTCACTCGAAAAAGTGTTTGCTTTTTATTTATTTTTTTATATTTCCAAGAATGTTTCAGAGTAAGATCTATTAGATTCAGAGTGTTAACCTTTATTGTTTGGTATATCTTCCAAGTAAAATGACAGTCAAAGTGAAATTTTGCGTTGACAATTGTTTTTATATTGAAAGAAAGAAGAGTTATATCAGGTTTTCTTTTTTTTCCTAAACATTCGGATCAATATTGCTCTGATTTTAAAACTTTCAATTTAAATATTCGTATAAAAGTCAAACAAAATATAATGTTTTAATGTTTTTGTTACATTGTATAGAAAAGAGTTAATTAAATCGCATAGTTATAAAAACTTTATTTATTGTTTTTTTTTCGGTTCCGGACGAAATATCGATCATATGATTGTTGTTACGTTAGCTGATTGAGTTTTAGAGAAAAAAATTGATTTCATCTAATAAAATATTCAAAAAATCTGAAAATTTATCTTATATTTGTATAATGCTTATTATATTGACAATTGTTGAATAAATTTGATTTCAAGGGTCATGATATAACGATTAGTGCAAGTAAACTTCGTTCTGGTTCTGGTGAATCTGTTGTTTACATTCTCAATCGACTTGCTGATGATGCACTTAAACAATCTGGTTTTAATTGGCGATTGTAATTTAATATTAATAATAGAATTATTCAATATTTATTTTGTTTTTAGGCCAGAAAAACCTGATGAATTACCAGATGCTGATGATTCCGGTCTTAAAGATGATGATAATGAAATTGATGTTAATAAAATTGATGAAGAAATGTTTAATAGGGTTATTTAGAATATCATAAAATTTTATAAAATATTATAAAATATTATTTTAGGATACTGATGCTGATGAATATGAAGAAGATGAAGCTGTACTTAATATGGAAGCTTTAACAAAATTAGGTTTAAAATCAAGTTCAGTTGGAGCTGCTGCAATGTCTGAACCGGAAATTCGTCCTGAATTAATTATGGAATCAACAACAGATGCAACTGAATGGAAATTAGAAGTTGAACGTGTATTACCACAACTTAAAGTAACATTTAAAGCAGAAAATAAAGATTGGCGTGCACGACAAGAACAACGTTTAACATATAAATCACAAATTGCAACTTCACTTAAAGATGCTGAACAAATGTTAACAAGATTTCATACAGATATTGCTAAATCATTAGAAAAAATTACAACACGTAACATATATATTAAATCACTATTGACAATTATTTGAACTTTTTTTTTTTTTTTTTTTTTTTTTAATATATAAATAAAAAATTTTTTTTTTTTTTTGGGGGTGGGGGGGGGGGGGGGGGGGGGGGGGGGAGGGGTATGT